TTTTATTTTATTTATATTATTATCATATAAATCTTTAAAATCAATCAATTGATAAATTAATTTATTATAATTTGATCTATTTTTATAATGATATGATATTTCTTTCTTCTATAATGGAATCTTATTCTTTCTTCTATTTATATTGAGATGAATCACTTTATGATTTGATTCTCTTTAGTTACCTCTACCCAGTTCATCATCAGCTCGCAACTTAACTATTATTAAGGAAACCTCAGATACTGCACCATCAATCATGGCTCAATCACACAAGGGATATCTAGATTGAATGATTCTCACGATTATTTTGCCAATCATATATTCTGTAATAATAAAGATTCTGCAAATTATGTATATTTCCCTTTTCACTAGTTCCTTCCATAAGAGTAAATTAGGGCTACCATAGAACCTGTGTATATATATATATATATGTAAAATCAGTGAATAAATATCTAAGCTTCCACTCTTAATCTCCTTCTTTACCTCAATAATGGTATCAGAGCCCTTTCTCAAATGAGCATAACTAATGGCTAATGAATCCTCTGCAACTATCACCTCTCCCTTTATCTCCACTAATGTCGCCATCCCTATTAGACAAAATACTATCATCACTTTCAATGCTGCTGCTCATTTTCCTCTCAAACTCATTCCTAGCAACTATCCCTCTTGGCAGGCACAATTTTTATCCATCCTCACAATCTACAAATTAACCGGGTTTCTTAATGGATCCAAGCCTTGCCCACCAGCACCAATCGGGGAGGTTCCGGATTCACCCTTTGAGCTTTGGATTTGCCAAGATCAATTGATCCTTCATGCTATCCTTACATTAGTTTTAGAACCAATTGCTCCCTACATATCTGCTATTGAAACTTCACAACAGGCTTGGAAAACTCTAGCCAATCTCTATGCCAATCACTCAAGATCTAGAGTTTTTACACTCAAGGAGAGGCTTCAAAACACTCGCCGTGAAAGTCACACTGTCTTTAAATTTCTTCATCAACTCAAGGTGCTTGTCGATGAACTTGCTGCAATTGACAAACCTCTTACCAATGATGACTTGATGGTGTATGTACTCAATGAGATAAGCCTTGAATTTCGTGAGATCTCCGCTTCGATACGTGCTCAAGATGAGCCACTTTCCTTTGAAGAACTTCATGACAGGTTAGTTGCCCATGAAGAAAGCATGCATAAGGAGGAAAATTGAATTGAAAATACACCAGTGACTGCCCATTTTGTTGCTATGCCCACAAGGAGACTTGCTGGTAATAATCCTACTTTTTCTACAAATTCTAGTCTTTCAAATGCTTTTTTTCAGTTCAATGGTGCAGGAATTCTGCCATTGCCACAAAATATACAACCTTTTGGATCAGGCCAACAAATGGCATGAGGAAGAGGAAATGAGCGCTAAAGACGAAATCAATTCAACACAAAAAGAGGAGGTCCAAATCGGCCCAATATATCTTGTCAACTTTGCAACCATTTTGGGCATACTGCTCATACATGCTCATTGTTTCGAAATCAAGGCCAAGGACCCACAGCCCACTATGCAGCATCTACCGGTCCAAACACTCTACTAAGTGGGTGATTGATTCAGGTGCCAATAATCATATGACAATTGATCTGTTGAACCTGGCATTGCATTCATAATATAACGGCCTTGATGTACTAATTATTGGAACTGGCTCAGGTTTGAAAATCACTTATGTTGGTCATACTACCCTTACAACACCCACCTCATCTCTTCCTTTACATAATGTTTTATTTGTACCTATAACATCTCGTAATCTTATTTTTGTCTCTCAATTATGCAAAACCACAAATTCTATTGTTGAATTTCATCCTAATTTTTTCTTGGTGAAGGATCACAACATGGGGGCGATACTACTACGAGGGCCAAACTGACATGGGATGTATCAAGTTCCTTTAAAGGGCCCATCTAAGCAAATGCCCATGGCATATCTTGTGGAAAAGACATCGGTAATAAATTGGCATGTAAGGCTGGGACATCCATCATCTAAAATATTCAAAAAAATTCTCAATGTTATCAATTTGCCATTAATAAATAAATTCGATGGTTTTTACTGTGATTCTTGTTCCTGTTCTAAAAGCCACAAACTCCCATTCTTCAAATCCTCCATCACTAGTCGTGCCCTCATTGAATATATGTTTTCTAATGTTTGGGGTCTTGCACCCACCACGTCTATTGATGGTTACAAGTTTTTTATTATTTTTGTGGATTTATACAGTTGGTATGTTTGGCTGTATCCAATCCAAAAAAAAAAAAAAAATTAGATGTCTCAATTATCTTTCCAAAATTCAAGTCCCTCATTGAAAATCAATTTGGGCGTAAAATAATTAATTTTTATTTTGATGGAGGTGGGGAATGTGTTGCTCTTCCAAATTACTTTCAACAACATGGTATTTCTCATTTCATCACCCCACCTTACACTCCAAAACTAAATGGTATTTGTGAAAGATGGAATAGATCTATTGTTGAAACTAGTCTAGCTTTACTTCACTATAGTTCACTTCCCACTCATTTCTGGTCCCATGCTTTTCAAACTGTAGTATACTTACTCAATCGTTTATCTACTTATGTTTTGTCTTTCACATCTCCTTTTCAAAGGCTTTTCTCTATTCCACCAAATTATTTAAAACTAAAAACCTTTGGGTGTGCTTGTTACCCTTGGATGCACCCATACACTCAAAATAAACTCCAAGCAAGATCTCATCAATGTATTTTTGTTGGTTACTTAGTTGATCACCTTGGTTATAAGTGTTTTGATCCTCAAACTAGTAAAATATTTATTTTTAGACATGTTACCTTTCATGAAAATCACTTTCCTTTTCGGGCTTATATAGGTCAATCAGCTTCTCAAAATCAAATTTTCCCTGATCTTACCAGTGTTCAAATCTCTAGTTTTTCTCCTTCAATTCCGTCTCAGCCCTCCATCAACTTAGCTTCTCCTTTTCCTTCTCCTTCTTTGGCACCGGACTCAACTCCATCCTCTGCTCCTCTCCCAGCCTTGCCATCGCCAATGCCCTCCACCACTGCCACCCTAACTCTGTAGGACTTCGTCATCCCGATCTCATAGGATGCATTGCCTCCCATTGCTTGCTATTTAGATCTAGTCTGCTCGCCCTCCTGCTCAAGTATTTCCCGCTCTTTCACTACTTCTTCTGTTGTCATCGATTCCCCTTCCTCTCTCTCTCCCTTTCCCTCTTCCTCGTCCCTGTCCTTATCTCCTCCTTGTCATCGGCCTCTGTCTCATCTTCCCCAATCCCTCCCCCACCTAGCACTGTCCATTACCCACCGAACTCACCTCATGGTTACTTGTTCCCTAAACAACATCTTTAAGCCCAAACAGATGCATCTTGCCACCAAATACCCTCTCCCCATCACCATTAAGCCCTCATGTGTGAGCCAAGCTTTGAGTCACCCCCAATGGTGAAGGACTATGTCAAATGAGTTTGATGCTCTTGTTCGATAAGGGACTTGGGATCTGGTTCCAGCATCTCCGAATCAAAATGTTATTGGGTGTAAGAGGGTGTTTTAGTTAAAGAGAGGAAAAAATGGTGAAATTGAGTGCTACAAGGCATTGCTAGTGGCCAAAGGCTTTCACTAGCAGCCTGGTCACAACTATTCCAACACCTTCAGCCTTGTTATCAAACCCACCACCATTTGCACTATGTTTACTATTGCTGTAAGTCTAGCTTTGCCAATTTGGCAACTTGATGTGAATAATGCTTTTCTTCATGGCTCTATTGAGGACGATTTATATATGGCTCAATCGGCGGGTTTCATTGATCAAACTCTTCCTCATCATGTCTACAAACTGAAGAAAGCCATCTATGGACTTAAGCAGGCTCCCCGCGCTTGGTGTACTAAATTGAAGAAATTCTTACTTGCTTGTGGTTTGGTTAACTCTCGCTCTGATTGTTCTTTATTTATTCATAACAATGCTAGGATTGTTATCTATGTGTTAGTTTATGTTGATGATATATTCATCACTAACAATAATACTTCTTTTATCTCATATTTAATCAACAAGTTAGGGGAGAAATTTTCATTAAAGGACCTCGGTGAACTCAATTTGTTTTTGGGGGTTGAGGCAATTAAAACTTCTGCTGGTTTATTTCTCTCTCAGCACAGATATATTAATGATCTATTGCAGAAGAGCAAAATGGATGGTGCCAAAACAGTTGCAACACCCATGTCCTCCTTGAGTTTGTCTCCTCATAATGGTTCGCCAACTCTCTTCGACGCCATAGCTTACAGGAAATTAGTGGGTTCTCTGCAGTACTTGTCCTCAACTCGTCCTGACATTTCATTTGTTGTAAATAAATTGTCTCAATATATGCATTGTCCAACTGAGTTGCATTGGCAAGCAGTCAAACATATTCTACGGTATCTGAAGGGCACCATGTTCCATGGCTTATTGATACGGTCCAGCTCTAATCTTGCTCTTCATGCTTTTAGTGATTCTGATTGGGCAGGTGATAAGGACACTTTTGCTTCTACTACTGGCTACCTTGTCTTTCTCGGTGCTACACCTATATCTTGGAAGGCTAGTAAACAAAAAGCCATTGCTCGAACTTCTACCGAGGCAGAGTATAGAGCCTTGGCCGCTATTTCCTTTGAGTTAGTTTGGGTATTGCATTTGTTGAGTGAGCTTGGCCTTCATTTTGGTAATCCACCCGTTCTCTATTGTGATAATGTTGGTGCTACATACCTTATCAGTAATCCAGTCATGCATTCTCGTATGAAGCACATCGCCATTGATCTTCACTTCATTCGTGATTTGGTTGACAAGAGAATTCTTCGTGTTTATCATATTGCCTCAGCAGATCAACTTGCCGATGGGCTGACCAAACCATTGTCTTCCTTCTGTTTTGCCTTGCTATGTTCCAAGATTGGTGTCATTGATGGCTCCACCATCCTGCGGGGGCGTATTAAGGAAACCTTAGATACTGCACAATCAATCATGCCTCAATCACACAAGGGATATCAAGATTGAATGATTTTCACGATTATTTTGCCAATCATATATTCTGTAATAATAAAGATTCTGCACATTATGTATATTTTCCTTTTCACTAGTTCCTTCCATAAGAGTAAATTAAGACTGCCACAGAATCTGTGTATATATACATGTAAAATTAGTGAATAAATATCTAAGCTTCCACTCTTAATCTCCTTCTTTACCTCAATAACTATCGCCTCCTTAAATAGCTCAACCAAAATCTTAGTTCTTTTAGTCTTTTCGTCAAACATTTGGTATGCATTTTTGTTCTTCTAGCTATCTCTAAACAAACTTTCACCTCCATTGGAAACCCTTTTTGCTTTTCCTTTAACTCTTGTACGTCATTGCGATACCGACGCCACATGGTAACCATTGCAGCATGACGGAGGCGTAAGAATACAATAGAAGGAGAAAGGGCTGCACGCAGTACACAAAAATGCACATGATTGAGGGTTATAATTGTCAATTACATAAGAAAGCTGTGACATTAACAAACGGGGTTGTGGCAATAAATGGATGTTTATTTTAGCCTTTTAAAAATATTTATTAGATATTGGTTTTAATTAGATGTTTTAAATTATATATAATAATAATTAATTATTAAATATTAATTATTAGTGATTAATTATCAAAAGAATTATTAATAATTAGTTTGAATGAAAGAGATTGATTTTTTTAAAATAAAATTTTGATTTAAAATTTTATAAATAGAATAATAAATGTTGAAAGAGTTTTTTTATTATAACATTTAATGTGACGTGGAATATGATTTTTGAATATTAAAATTAATAATATGAAAAAAAATAAAAATTATATATATATATATTTATAAGGTAATCTAAGTAGTCCAGTAACAGCACCCAAACAACTAATTATATTCTAACTACTTTCATAGAAAAAAAGTAGGGGTGGGCGTCGGGCGGGTCAGTGAACAAACCGATCATTTTCAATAAGTAATCAATTTTTTAATTATTTATTTTAATAACCACAAATCGAATAAAAATAAAGTGATTTTTATTGATTTAATCATATTTTTTTTCTCAATTTCATCGGTTCGAATCGATTTTAACCCACATATCTGTAGCTTTATTTCAATTTTAAATCTTTTTTTTCAATTAGAGTTTCATTTTGCATTTTTATGATGAAAATCTTGAAAGGGGAATAAAATTGGAGGAATTAATAAAGTTTTCCAAAAGTGGAACGAAATTGTAGGAGGTGATGAAGCTTCCCAAAAGCTGAACGGTACAGTCGGCAACAATTGAAATTAAATATTCAATGGGTGTTGGTTTTATGAGACTATTACGCGGTTTCGCGATTTCAAAGTCTAACAACAGTTCACTGCCCGTTGTGCTACGGTTTTCAGCATGCAAGCTGGTATGCTCCAGCCTGAAGCCATCAAGGCCCGACCCGTTGGTGATTCTGTGGGCGGTTTCGGTGCGGAACCGTGGCCCTGCGGAAAAAAACCCAGCCCTAGAAAAAAGGTACTACATGAGATTTATCAAATCTTTTTCTCTAATTATTTATATGTAAGCATCCGCGTATGACGTGGTAAACAGAACAAAAGTTGAAAAGAAGGGAAAAAACACGAATGGAACTGTACCGTGGGACACCCGGACACGCGGAAGAAAGAAGTGGAAAATAAATTGATGTGTAAAGGAGCTGTAGTACTGTAAACCAGCACTAACTTAAACTGTTTTATATTTTAGACTCCCCTTAAAATAATAAAAAAA